TTTGCAGGAGTTTGAGATACATATTACCCTTCCCATCCCATCAGATATACACCATCACTTTCAGATGCAGACTGGCTATTGGAGTGGTTAATGGGGACTTATTTCATCTTCCCCAAGACCTTATTTACTCCATATTGTTGCAAACAATTCATTTTTCATTGCCTGTGTTTGTTCTTTTCAAAAATGGGTCTTTTTGATATGTACGAGTAGATTCAAGATTTGAGTATGGAATCTGTTTGCTCTCTAGTTCTATTTTGAGATTGTGTGTCTGTGAATGAATTTAAGTGTGCCACGATTGGCAATTAGGCCCCACCCCCTTTTACAGTTGAAATAACTAAATGTTTTTTTTACAACTTGTACAGCAATTTTTCCTTTCTTGATATAAGCATCAAATGATGAAAATGCATTTTGTTTTTCTCTATCCTCACTTTTACTATAAAAACATTTACAATTCACAATCCATGAATCGTATAGAAAGACGGCGAAATATCGCTTTTCAAAATATATAAATTTCAGTCACACACAGTAAAAGATGCTATGAACTTTTGTCCTAACTTTGATTAAAAATACATGCTCAGAATAAGAGACTAGGTAAAGCAGTCTAAGGGAGTAATTCTGTATTTGGAATGTAAAAAACGAAAGAAGAAAAAAGAAATTCAGATACTAAAATGGAAGACACCCCAACCTAATCACCTAGTTGGCCCTGTATTTTTTCAGTGATAAGCTGTAAGCCTTCTCCAATATCTCAGAAACAAGGTGATCAAAAATGCCAGGTTTGCTTGGGCTTGGTGATTGATTTGCGCAAAAACTTCTGTTCAATAATTTATGAATGAATTTAGTTTGATTTGATTTTAGGATAAGGTTCCAGGTAGACAATGTTTCTTTATCCATGAAGTTTGTTTTTTCTCAGATATATTTCTGGCTGGGATTTAACATCTTTTACTTTTTATTTTCGAATTTTTGTTGTCTTTTTTTTAATAATTCTTATGAACATGCTGTCAAACAGCAAAACAAAACTGCAGTTCATTTCCTTTCTGCTTGAAATTTACGACTCCCTTGTTTTACTTACAAAAATCACTTTAAAATTTATGTTTCGTGTCCAGTTTAAAAGTTCTCCTCACAATTTCTCTTTATCTAAGATCAGTGTAGTGTCTGTTTTGTTAGTTATATATGTAAATTTTAGTTTTTATTGAAACTTCAATAGAAATGACTGTATGTCTTAGAAGACCATTGTTTGTATAGTGAGTTCATTCTTCACTTGGTGCCCTACTTTTGTAACCCTGCTGGGTGTAATGATCATTAAACTAGTTTTATAAATTATTGATAATTTAAAAAATTTAGTCCATATTTCAACTCTATTGTGGCCTTGTGTCAGACTAAACTCAGTTGAAGTATCTGAAAGCATTTTAATTAATTTTTTAAAGTATGTCAATTTTTATTTTGGCATTTGTGCATAAATACATGTATGCTCATACTTTTAACTATTATAAATATAAAAGAACAGAAATAAAAGTTAGCATCAAATTCATATTACCGATACTGAAACATTCCTTGTTATATTCATATTACCACTACCAAAAAAAGTCCTTATTTTTAGAAAATAAAAGAATAGTGACTGTAAAAAAAAAAAAAAATTTAAAGAATTATTTATGTGTATATTAACATTTCCGCCTAAGATCAGTATTGTATCTGTACACTTTGCTTATTCCTGACAGTCTCAGATAAAAATATTGTAACAGACAATATTTTTATCTGAGACTGTCAGGAGTAAGCAAAGTGTACAGATACAATACTGATCTTAGGCGAAATGTTAATATGCACATAAATAATTCTTTAAATTTTTTTCACTTGGAAAAAATGTTACACAAAGAAGTGTGTGGTGATGTCAATATTTTTAAATTCTATTACAAATCAAACTATATGAACAAGTATAGAATTGTGTGAGAAAGTAAAAGCTCTAAATTATGTTCCAAATAAATGTAATCTCATTTGAAGGTGAAGGATAAATTGTTAAATATAAAACAGTTTACCAACATGTAATCTTTGCATTACATAAAAAATGACTCTTTGATATTGGACATACTTAATAAATTTTCTGGCATATCTGCTTAGATATCTTTTATTTATTGATTTATTTTTGTTTTTTGTTGCTTTGTAATACAATTAAGTCAATTGTTTTCTCAATTATCTAATGTGCCCATTATTTAATAAAATGCTTTCTGCTACTGAAATTTTCAATGTATTTGAAATCTGAAATCTTAAGTGGAACACATTGGGACTATATATTTTTGTCCTAAAGCAGTTCCTTTTTAATGGATTTGCATAAAAAGGTAAATATTCCAGCTGTTTAATTTTATTGATTGGTCCGATTGAATGAATGTTCTCTGTAGCTGATGCTCTCTTTAACCAGAATTTAATACAGATATTTACTCAACACAGTATGGCACAAAGAAAATGGTGGTAGAAATATTATGCTACATTAGTCTTCCAAATGGTTTACTTTATAAATAAACTGTTGGCTTCTTGAATTTTTACCTAGGTCCAAACACTGATCACTTGTACCAGTGGGAAGTAGAGAATGCTCTCAGTCCATTGATGTATTCTAAGATTGAAAGTTGTGATTTTTATATTGAACTGTAAATGGCAGATAGCATATCAGAAAGATTGATGCTATTCTTCAAAGACAGGAAAGGTTTGTCTCTCTGGAAATAAGCATTCAAAATTCTTTCAAAAAGTCAAAATCATTTTATTTTCTTCATTTTTTTTTTTTTTTTTTTTAATTACCATATGGGACATCTTAATATTTCTGATTTAAATTGACAGGGTTTACGCAAGATGTTCTGATTTGTTGTCTGTTAAATTCTTGTTTGGATTTGACTGGATATACTGTGTTTTTTTGTTTTTCCTTCATAACTTGTATTTCCTTTAAAAAAAAAAAAAAAAAAAAATCATCTTATACTGGAGAATTCGTTTTATTCCACATACTAATTTAAATGATCAAAATCGATTATTAATTTAAAAATTATGAAAATATTTAATTTAATGCACTATATTCAGCTATTTAAATGCTACGAGGGGAGATAACTCTATTTGACTAGTTAAAGTAATGGCCCTTCGGTTAATTATTACTTGTTTTATATATTTGTATTCGTGCACTTGTCTTACTGTAAATTATTTAAAATCATTTACAGCTATGCTGTTTCAAAATAGATAAATATTAAAGCTTAGTACTTATCGGCAGAAATTTAGAAAAAGACTAATGTTGGAATTATTGTAATATTATTTAGGTTAAAATGTTTTCAAGAATCATTTGCCAAAAAAAAAAAAAAAAAAAAAAAAACAGTATTGCATGATGAAAAAAAAGGCCCAAATTTAATAAAAATGAAGTTTTATTGTCAAAATGTTTATTAAGAAGAAATCCCAAGTATTTTTTATAATTTTATTAAATTTTTTCATCCTTACTAGCCAGTTTGAAATTTTGGTTAAAAATTTTTTTTTTTTGTCAGTGGTTGACTTAATAGCACCTTTTTAAAGTGAAAAATTCATTGATTTGGAAATTCTTGAAAAAATCAAATAATTATCAGATTTTAATGAAACTTTCAGAACTTATTCACAAATAATTATTTTTCGAGATTTTTTTTTTTTTACTTTTACACCCCCCATTTTATGAGCACTGAGAAATTCAGCGCTTGCCTTTTATTGATTATATCAGTTAGAAACAAAAGACTGAAGAATATAAATCATTGATTTTTTTTTTTTTTTTTTTTTTTTGTAAAATTGAAAACACAATTACTCAAAATTATTGTAACTTACAAAACTAAAACTAAGATGTTATTTAATTAGAAAAGATTTTAATGGCTTTTATGAATCATATATGTTAAGGACACTATCGACTGGAGCCAAAATATATTTTTCTAATGAGAATGAATTTTTACAAATTTTTTTTTTTTTCCCCAATTTTAAGTACAAAATGTGATAAAGCTGTTAAATATTTTAAAATTGAGCTTCAATTCTTTTCTTCTTCTCCCCGAAAAATAACTGATTAGTGGCCTTTTTTAGCCATCTGTCATTGCAGTGAATTTTTCTTTATTAAAAAAAATCTTCCAAAAATAAAATATACTTTTCTGAAACTTTTATTTCGGGAATATTAGCTGATTTAAAATATCTGATTTGAAACAAATATTATTTACTTTAAGTTGAAAATAACAGATAAATGGATTCTTTAAACAAACTGTTGCGTGATGTATGTCAACAGCTTGTCAATCATAAAATGAGTGATTTACGAAGTGTTGAAACTTTTATTATTGTTCTACAAAGACCTTATCTGCTAAAACATAATTTAAGAAAATGTCAACGCTTTTTAAAAAAAAAAAATTTTAGCAAGATTTTTTAAAATATTATTTTTAAAAATAAATTCATTCATTTGTGAATAAGTTCTGAATGTTTCATTAAAATCTGATAATTATTTGATTTTTGCAAGGCTTTCCAAATAATGTGTTATTTTACCAGAAAACAGTCATGGAAAATTTCCATTACCAGTTCTGTTACACTGTTAATGTATAAAACTAAATTTTTAACAAAAGTTTTAAACATGTTAAAAACTAGTTAAAAACAAAATTTAAATAATTAAAAAAAAATACCTTGTTCTTTTCTCTTAACATAAACATTTTGATGATAAAACTTTGTTTTTAAGTTTGGGCCCTTTTGTTTTTCATCATTCTATGATGGGTTTTTTCTTGTTTTTTATGGTAAATTCAGTGACTGAAAAGAAAAGATTTTTAACTAAAATTTGGGACATGCTAGAAAGGATTAAAAAATGTAAACAAAAAAAAAAAATAAAAATAATCAAAAAATACTTTGGTCTTTCTTAATAATTAATAACAAACATTTAAACAATAAAAAAAAAATTTTCAAGTTTGGGGCCTTTTTTTTGTCATGGCATGCTCTTTTTTATTTTTGTTTTAACGAGACATTCTTTTTTGTTGTTCACTTGTGAATAGACTGAGCTGAATATAACAAAAGCCAATTTGACAAAATGTGGGAAATTGGAAGAACTCCAAAAACATCTGATGAAAATGAAGGAATTGAAAGAACAAAAAAACCAGAAAACCAAAGCTGGTAAAAGTCCTGTGAAAAGTCCCGTGAAAAGCCCAGTCAAAGTTACAGAAGCTGAAAGTGAAACAACCAGTAAAGAACTTCCTTCACCAAACAAAACAGCCAAGTACTATTTATTTTCCAATTATTTTCTCTTTTCTTGTTTCTTTATTAATGTCAATATTAAATGATTTTTTACCTGTGATAAGGTTTCATTATTAACAGTTAGACTAATATCTTCTTGCTGTTATCACAATATTTTGCCCATTGTGACCTTTAGCCTTCTCCTGGTGCCTGTCAATCTGGATAATCTTCAGGGAATTTTGAACTAAACACTTTATTCAAACAATGTGGGTATATTTTTTTTACTACTTTCCATGTCTATGAATATTTCATTTTTTCTTTTTATTGACTGCTCAGTTATTGCTCGCCCTGTGTCCCTTGGGTCTGAATTTGTATACAATCCAGGGATTGAACTCACATTTTCTATGTCACCAAATTTACAAACCAATGCTTTAATCCTCTACCCTAGATTAAATTAATTAAATTGAAGTTTGAAATTCCTTGAAGATTGGGAGACACCTTTAAGGAGGCCAAAATTTTGTGATGACTGCTAAGATGAGGATATTAGTCCAATTGTAAATAGTACAAATTGTTTTTTATAGACCCTTTTGACAGCATTATTTTTCAAAGATAGTATAAACGTAAAAATTATATATCAAATGCAAAATGTTATCTAAGGTTATTTTTTGTTTTTAAGGTTATTTTTTGTTTTTAAGGTTATTTTTTGTTTTTAAGGTTATTTTTTGTTTTTAAGGTTATTTTTTGTTTTTAAAACTTGGTTTGCAAAATTGTTTTGAGTTTATGATTACCCAAATTTTGAAATGTTAATTTTGTTGGTCTTGACAGCATTAATTTTTTAAAAATTTTAAACAATTAGAAAACAATTGATTATTCACTTTGTGTATTAATCAACAATTGCATATTCTGATGTTTAGGCAATCTGTTTTGCATTTTTCTCAATCAGCAGTCGTTAACCTTACATTGCTTTAGCCCTTGTATGATGTATTTTTGTATGTTTAATTGCCTTTCAAATTTAGTCAAATACTCTTCTATATCTTTCTGCTTCTACATATGTAGATTGTCTGACGAAGAACTTATTTGAGCATTAAATATTATGACTACAACCAGAAACTTTTTATAGCTACTTGACTGATCATGAAAATTTTACTTGCCACTTGCTAAATATTAAAGAAAAACATTTTATAAGATGTTCAAATACCTTGTACTAATGGTTTTTTTTTTTAGATTGTTCAGACATGTCATTTATTTTCTCAGTTTAAAACAAATATATCTGAGTTTCTTCAGTTAATAACTTGTAATGGCAATTAACTTAGTGCACTGACAGTACTTAAAACCAAAGTGAACTTAAAATTTGAATGTTGAAACATTTATGACTTAATGTGGATTTTTTTTTTTTTTTAAACCTGTTTCATTGTAGGGCTCCAGCTTATGAGCGCTTTAAGCACCTGATTCTTCCTTCTGTTCCTTCACTGATTTTACCCCATTCTTATATTGTCTTGGAGGACTTCTTCAAGAGTACAGACACAGTAGTCAGTATGATGTTCAATAGATCCGAAGTTTGTACTTTAGCTAAAGTCAAGGCTGCTGTTCAGGAAATGACTAAAAGGTTTGTAAGATTTTTTTTTTCTTAAAACCTACACTTTTATCCTTATGCCAATGCTGGTTTGGACTTTGAATAAAAAGCACAAGTTTAATCATCTGTACAATCTTTGGAATAATGATTTTTGCCTTTTCAAAATATAAGTATTGTCCTTATTTTTTTTTTACATATATTTTTCTAGAAATATAACTGCCAAAATGATCAATACATTCCATTAACTTCTTTGCCTGTTCAGAACCAAATAAAATGTAATATAGAAAAAATAGTACCTGATTTTAAATATTGGATTATTTGTTTATAACAATAACATTTGGGCTGATCCAAATGTATATGAAGAAAAAATTCTTGTGGGCTGGTGTGAAAACCAGAGAAAGGAAGATGCTGAAATGTGAAAACAACCAAAAAAATAAGGAGAAACAGAGACTGAAACTAATTTCAAAGTTCTTAAAATTATGTAAATTATATTTCTGTGTTACTGTTGATAACATCAGCTTGAATATTTCTTTTATAAAGGAAAATACTTAATTTGAATTGGTTTAAAAATATTCACTTTATATCCCTCCTCTCCAGTATAAATTACTTTCATCTGAAATCATTAAAAAAAAAAATAATAATAATAATTTTGCCGTGTGTATTTCCTTCAAAATTCCAAATCTCTATATTTTTTGTTGATGAGTTTGGGATTATCAAAAGTTAAATTTACATTGAAATCTGGTTCACAAAAAAAAAAATCTTCACATTCATAAGAAAGCTGTTCTTAGTGTTTATAAGTGTAAATAAAAAAAATCTATTTTATTTCTTTTATTAAGAAATTTTGAAGCAAAGGTACTTGGTCAGATCAAGACAGTGTATCCTGGGGCTTATGAATTCAAACAAGAGAAAGGCCTTCCTAAAAGTGGATACAAATATCAGGGTTATCAATTGACCCTTACTCCACTTTTTGATGCAGTTAATTCAAAAGGTAAAAAATCCATATATTTTCCAAATTTTTTTTAATCTAAGTATTTGAATTTTTAAAATTTAAACTGCAATGGTAAAAACTTTTTTGAGTGTTGTAGGTTGTTTATTCAATTTTTACTTTCATTATGCAAAAAACAAATTGACTTGCTTTTTTTATACTACGCACACATCCTAAATTGTACCTTATTTTTTTAAGTTTGTTTCATCTGAAGTTGATGTTTTGTCTCCCTTATAAATTCATTTTTAATTATTTTGTATGATCCATGTCGTAAACAACCAATAAAAAAAAAAAAATTATTAGTGACCAAACACTGGTATTTCTATTTGCCAACAGATGCTTGTGAAGAAAAGATTAAATTTACATCATCTGACATTCTACGCAGACAAAAGATTTTCCATAGCAATTTGGTTAATCTTGTGAAAAAAAAACACAAGGTTAGTGGACAGTTTTGTTTGTTTTTTGTTTTTGTTTTTTAAATTAAAATTTAATTTCCCTCTTTCCAGATTCAGTAGACATGCGATTGATTTACTTTTCAGGTATTTTTACAAAGTCTAAACATCTGCATTCCTGAAGAAAAGCTTACTCGTTGGCACCCAAGATTTAGATTAGATGAAATTCCTGAAATTGAATCTTCTGCACTCCCAGAGCCACCTTATATGAAAATTTACCAAACAGCCAAAGATGTTTTGGAAGATACAAAGAAAAGATTACATCCAAAGGTTGATATTTTTCTTTTTATTAATCCCTAATTGAATAAATATAGAATAAAACTTGGTTTCAAACTGATGTTCATGGATATACATATTAACATGTTCTATGGACACTTTTTTCTTCTTTTATGAACTCTAACATAAAATAAGTTATTGCATTAGCAATCTCTTATGCTGATTACAATTGTACTTGTCTGAGGTTAAGTTCTCCAGTTGAATTTGTGGTGCTGGATTTGTAATGTCAGAGTATTTATATTTGCAAGGTCAGCTTTAAATTTCTGGAATACCCCTTTGTTACATTGCCTGAAGCATTATTCAAAGAATTTGGTGTTTCTTTAGCTAATCTCATTACCTGTCCCTAAGCTGAATTTGTTTCTTTGGAATGGCTTTACTCCAAGGTCCCTATTTTGTCCCATGTCAAAGCCAATGAATATTTTACTCATCAATATGAGTAAGTCCCAAGTTGTATAATGATAGCATAGTGGAGTCAAATCTAGTCATGCCTTCATTCAGGGCAGTTTAGCCTTTGTGGTGAAATTTGTTTTGGCTGTCAATCTCCAAGGGTACAGGATAGACTATTTTTTCTTTTTACAGGTGAAGATAGCTCTAGAAAATGTGGCTGCTGCTTCTACTCAGCAAACACCAGTCACTGCTATGACCCCTGCATCTAATTCTACCAAAGAAGATTTGAAAGGCATACCTCTAGGGCTGCTAGAAAGAGTAAGTTTTTTGTTTCTATGACACATCAAATATTGCTCATCTAATTAGGACAGGAAAAGTAATTTGATTTGGAAATAGTCTCATTAATGTAGCTTTGGAAACCATGTTGCCGATTTTACAAAATATACTAATGGAAGGTTTGACTTTTTTTATTGCAAAACTCTAACTTGGCAAATTCTTTTGCATGTTTTATTAATCTGCAAACCCTCGTTTTTGTTCTATATATTGCATATTTTAAAAAGTATTAAAAAAAAAAAATTCTTTTTATATGTGATGGCTTATGAATTTATTAATCTAGAAACTAGTTTCAAATTCATTTCAGATTCGAGCAAAAGAAGCTCAACGTTTGGGAGAATCCATTACACGAAGCCCCATAAAGGATCAAAAGAAGAAAATGCTGGATCGCCTCCCAGAAATTTCTCGTATTCTTAGAAAGTATCCTTTACTGAAAGATTTCTCGTTTGTCTGTATTTGATTTAAGTATTTCCATTGAAGATTTTACATTCCAGACAAATTTTAAAATATGAAAAGCAACCAGTATTATTCCAAGTATGTCTACATTTTTTTTTTTTTTTTAACTTGATTTTATTTGATTGGAGTGAAGTCAGCAACATGTGTAACAATTTTTCTTCTTTCACTCTTGATAAGTTTAAAATATATCCCAAACAGTTGAGCTGAAGTAAACTTTCCAGTCAGTCAAAGGTTGCCTGTTAACAATAACTTCAACTGGTCATACATTTAACTTTCATGGACCACTTAACTACTACTCCATATTAATCTCTCAAAGAGATCCAGTGTATTGTTTACATTGTAGATCCATGATTTAATATAAATTTTTCAATTAAGTCTTTATATTTCATAATTTTCTGTATTGAAAGTATTTAAAATTTTCTAGCTTTCACTATTTTGAATTATTAATAGATGTTATGATGGTTAATTTAATGACATGTCAACCTGGCGTTACTGGCTTATTCATTATTGAATACAAGCCATGCATAAAAAATCACAACAAATTAAGATGTAGACAGGCTTTATATCCACCTTCTTCACTTTCCCTTTGGGATGTCTCCCTCCCTCAGCAGATGCAACATTAGCAAGCATTAATCTTTACAAGTATTTTATATTAGTTTCAACTGCAGCTAAATAAATACTACTCAAAAATTAGTAGCTGATAATGTTGCACTTTTATCCCTATATATTTAAATACAAAGGAACTGTTTTTAATTCTATTTTACACAATAATCCAATCTATACACATGGCTGCATTTTCTTAATGATCTTCCCAGTTATTTTGTCACTGAAAAGAAACCTGCTTTGCTTTTTGATGATCTCCTTGAAAAAATCAGTCAAAGCTACAAATCACCCATTTCAAAAGGTCAGTATATACCTTTCTCAGAATTGCCATCAAATTTGTCCCTAATTTGATACATTTTTTTTCTTTTGTTTAATCTGCTCTGTAAGTTATCAAGGATTAATTTAATAATCTGATCTTAGCCTGGTATAAAAGTTGTTTGTTTTAAACCCTTCTGTCACCAAGCTGAATTTTACCTCCTTCTGAAGAGTAAAAATTTAATTGATTTTGAACTATTATCTTTGAAGATAAAATTCTGAAAGATTTAAATTTGTTGTATGAATTGGCTTGTAAATTTCTCAATTTTTATATTTCTGCATACAAAATGTCATGAAAATTGAATGGAATATTTTTTTCTTCTTTCTCTAGCTGATGCTGAAAATCACTTAAAACTGTTGTTGGAAGTTGCTCCTAACTGGATCACAGTTGCCAACACCATGAAAGGCAAATATATTAAAATGGACAAAACAATCAAATTGCAGAATATCCAAGAAAAGATCAATAAATACCAAAAGAATCTGTGATTTCCCTGTGGCTAAGCATTTACAATTGGAAAAATGGATAGTTGTTTCAGAATTCTCAAAATATTTTCCTTATTCCTTTCTCCACTCACCTCCTGCTTGAAAACATTTTAATTCATGGGCAACTCAAACGAAATAATGTTAATTGTTTAATACCTTCATTCCTGATAAGTCATCTCAAATTCTTTAAAATTGTTGATTTTGAGTAGAGAAAGGAATTGGTCAATGTTCTCATACAAATTTAGCAATGATGTATATAATTTTTTGAGAACACAAATAAATGCTTGAATAATTCGGTTCTATTTTCAAGAGCAAAGAACCTCTTCATGAATGCATTTAAACCTGTACAGTAAATTGGCGATAATTTTTAAAATAAAAATAAACACGCATTTATTTTTGTTTGTTTTTTAAATAACTGATTATTTTTTTATATAAATAAAATGAACCCAATTATATAAATTCCAAACACCATTCTTTTCTTGTAAATATTAATTGCTGAGCTCATAACAAAATATCTTTTGCTTCAGTTTTATTCAATGAAACCAACTCAACTGATGAAATAAATATACACATTAATTTCATTCTTTAACTGCATAATGATGTTGCTGGTACTCATGTACTTCCACCTGCAGTGGCAGGAGGGTTTTGCTGAGCAGCTAGTTGTGCATGTACTTTCATCTGGATCATCTCCATTACAACTGAAAGAAAGAAATTCTTCAATTAAGTAGAAAGTAGCATCCAAAATTATTTTAATATTCTCATGATAATTTGGAGTCTTGTCAAGTCAAAATTGCTACAAAATCAACTACTGGAAATAACCTAGGCACAAATTAAAAATGGATAGCAATCAATTTTTTTAAGTCGATAATTAAGACATTACACAAGTGAGCAGCTGGCTGGTTAATTTGGTATGTCTAGGAATTGATCAAATAAAAAAACAGCTTCTGTTAACAGCTGAATGAGTTAAAAAATCCCTTACCTTGTTTCATCTTGTACTTTTCCTGCACCAGTGGTTGGATTTTTTCAATCTGTTTCGTGACATAGTCAACTTCCCTTTTAAAAAAATCTTTACTTGCATCAACAGACTGGAAAATAAAAATTTTTAAAGTGAGAAAGTAGAATTTTGTTTTAGAGAAGATTTGTAAATGTATTTCATATTTGCTATTCAAGATCATAGAAAATTGTAGCAGATTTATTAGGAGTCTGAAGTACTAAAATATGGCAACCTTTCATTTCAATAAGTTTTTTCTTTTCTCTCAAATCAAAGAATTTCTCATCACTCAAGTGGTTAGTAAAAAAATAAAAAAGTACACTGTTGTCACTACAGGGAGAATATTAACCATAGTGTCTTTTTGTATGAGGTTTTTCTCTCACTGATTATCACTTTCAAGACTGGAAAGAGATTTTTCAATTCTCAGTACATTTGTGTACAAGCTGAGTTCTGTGCCACCAGATAAATAAGTTATATGCTTATAAGGCAGCAAAATTTTATATTGATATGTGCCATGATGTGATAAGTTTCAACCACAATACTCAATGAACTATTTCAAATACCAGAATATGCTTGGGGTACTGAAAAAATGTCTGCTTGTTCAATAAGCAAGCACTTAGAATTAGATCTTTTTTCCCTGTTAAGTCAGAATGGGGAGGAGGGCTTTCAGCATAAAACATATTTACTTTTAGTTGGCAAGGCTTCCAACAAGTTCTGAAATGCTGGCTTTTATCTCTACTTCAGGCTGGTACAATAAAAGGTAACTGCCAAGGACAGGTGTATGTTTGTATATAATTTTTAAGTATATTCCAATGATTTTTATTGTCTCAACAGATGCACTTACTCATCAAAATAATGTCATTATTGGTCTTCATCATTACCAATATGTAGAAGTGCCCAACCAGTCTATTAAGACTTTTGAAGCATATTCCAGCAACAATCCTTTAAATTATTTTCTCTTTACAAACTCAGTGAAAAAAAATCTATTAACACAAGTCATCAAAGAAAAAGTTACTCTTAAAGTAATAAGATTATCTACTTGCCATTTCAATGAAATATCCAGTGCCAATGTCCACCAAGCATTCTTCTACATTTGCTAACTGGCCAGGAACATACATCTATTAGCGTTAAGCAAAAACATACCAGTGACTTTAAGCAACGGTTCATCAATTCAAAATTACATTTGCAATCATTCTTGAGCAATGACAGTCCCATTTTTCAATACACAATAGATTGATCGCCAAAAATTGTTAAAGCATTTTAGCTTAAAAATTTGGTACTGAATGAAATTCTCTTCTACTGGAATTCTATTTTCTTAGTTCAGAAAATGCTTTAAGAAAATCAAAATGGAGTCAGTCATTGGGCAATAATGTTTGCCTATTTATTCAGGGGTCAATTGCAATTAGTTATGGTTGTTCTTTTTGTTCCCTGCTTTCCTCTCATCACCTTAAAGTGCTAAGTTACTGTGAGGTGCTAACCAAAAGTACCATGAGTACTTAGCAGATTGTTCCTTTCCCCATTTAGTTGAAGCCATTTTGCACTTGAAAGCTTCTTGAAATTTTTTGTGGTACCTTGTATATAATCATTAGAACAAATGTTTTAATATACTGAATATAAGATAAAGAACAGAATGGAAACTTTCATCAGAGACTGATATGGAAAAAAAGAATGTGTGTGTGTGTGTATATATAAAACGTTACTGAATTTTGACTATTTCTCTCACTGTCCATTAATGAAGAGAACAAATTTGCTGTATAGTTAAGTACAATACTGAAATTGTTTACTATTGACTGTCTACAGTGAGTAGTGAAATTAAGATAAAATACTAATTAAAATTTAATGGTTGACAATGCTTCATTTCATAATAAAATTAAAGATATTTATCTAAGCAAAACATTGTATGTAGTAACCAGGGGAAAATATGGAATAAGTTTATATGGTTAGATTTCATGGGATTAACAACTGTTTTGAGAATAGCAATGATTTTTTTTTCCAGATCCGAGTCCTATTTAACCCATAGCTGGGGAGGAGGATGTGTACCTTTTGTAAATGAGCAGGTGTTAAAAAGGAGATTTTTTTTTTGTTGAAAATGCTCCACGGTTTTGTAGACCAGTTGTGGTTAACAGCAATTAAATGAAGACATTTTAGAATAATCAATATATATAAGTAAACAGCTTAGTCAAAATATCCCAATGTATCATTGAAAATCATTTGCATCAACTTGTTTGTTATGTGGCTTCCACATATGCTAAGCAAAAAAAAAAAATACTGGACCAAATATTCATGCCCCCACTCTTTAAAAAAAAATTTTTTTTTAAAGCAAGCTGTGATGGATGGAAAGTATATATTTAACAACACTGGAATACGAGAAACCATGGGAGCAAGTGAAATATTAGTTTGGATCCAAAGATGAAACTTACATAGGATAGTTGTCTTTTCTGTTCTTGCAAAGAACTGATTTGAACAAGTGTTGCTCACAATTAGACTGAGGCTAGCATTCAATAAAAAGCAACACAAATTGGTTTAAAGCAAGATAACAATATTTCATCAAGAAAATGCTAGACAAAACCCATGGTGATCAGGTAAAAATTGTTACAACTTGACTAGGAAATTATTTGCTCACCAGATATTACCCTTTTATATCAATGTTTATTTCAACCTCTACAGAAATTTTTAATAAAAAAATTTAAAATTTCCAAAGGTGCCTTGAGCAGTTTTTACTAAGAAAGATAAAAAGTTCTGAGACTATGGCATTATGAAGTTATTTACAAGATAAATGATCTTGGAATAAAACCATAATGATTTCAATAAATTTAATGTTGAAAACAATGTCTATCTTATCTTTATATAATTGAGAAATTTCTTTGGTTATCCAATTGAATGAATGAATGAAGTGGCTGGAAATTTGTTCTTAAGCAAGATGAAAATACAAGTTTAAAAAATGACTAATAAAAACATCTTTAAAACCTTGAACCAAAGCTCTTTGAGTGAAATTAAGTAGACAAAACTGTTCAGAAACTGTTGAGGGTTGTGCTGGTATGTAGTCACAAGTTCTCACTGAATGGACAAATACAAGCTCTTTAGCCTTGGTTGGCAATGTATCTAGAGATAGTGTCAATAAATGCACCTATCCTGTGGTAATTTGCCTCAGAAATTGCAGATTCATTTCTTATACATCTTAAAGAGTTAGGTTTATACTATAATGTATAATAGCAGCTAGAGCTATAAAAAAAATGACATACTTTAATTAAAAAAAAATACTTTATTGTTAGCAAAATATGTCAGAGGCACAAAGTGAGGAAAAATTGATAGGAAAAATTGTACAAATTGAGCTACTCAGCACATTGTTGTCCCCAAAACTTACCTATGTAAAAAAAAAAAGTTTAAAGTGCAATAAAAGAAGATATATGTCTTAACTTTTCATATGCATCTTCCTCCCCCCCTGAAAACAATCCTTGATAGCTTCTATTAAACCACTGAATTATCAGTATAGTAATTTTTCCCACAATATATTTTGAAATTAAAAAATGTTTTATATGGGAAATCAAAAGTAAAATCTCAGATTTAAACATTAAAAGCAAAAGGATACAGAGCCTGTAAGTGGAACTAAAATATCTTTATCCAAATTCTCTTTGTTCACTTTGCTCAAGCATTCTTGAGATTCAGCAAATTTTGTTTGTGTCATCTTCAATTGATTCAAAGAGGCAGTAAAAAACTCTATTTCCTGGAAATATAAGAAAGAGAATTGAGTTTTTTAACAAAATTCACATACATAAAAGAATTTTTTCTCAACATTTTTATGACATTCAAATGTATATGATATGCCCTTCTAGTGGCATAATTTAAATAATACAATTTTATGTTAAACTTGATAAATAAAATTTCATAATTATTCAAATAGTAAAGTCTTATTTGCTTAATTTTATCAGGAAGTTCAAGAAAAATAGAATAAAGTTTCAAATATTTTATAAACATAATCCAATTGCAAAATTACTTAAATGTGCAGTAAATTTTTGATAGCACAGATATATACAAAGTGCGATGGATAAATTGTCATCTAAATTACACAAAAATGAAAATAACACTGACATCTCATTTTAACATATTTTTGTGTAATTTTGGTAAATAACTCTTGAAATACTAAAGAGTAAATTTATTCAATAAAATTGCAATTGACTTCAACCATGGCCTCCAGACGACTTTGGAATCTCCTGCTCAGCTCTGATGTTAGCCAGTGTTTCTAATGTCTCAGCAAACATTTCACACATCTGCTGAAATCAAGAATTTCATTTCCACACAATTCTTTTTTCTTTCAGGAAGCCATTTTAGATTGAACTCTTCAGTAATAAATAATAAGCTGTATAAGACAGAAATATGATTATAAATTATAATTACAAATCAATATAATGTTAAAATATACAAATAATTATATCTAAGTATGGATGAATGATCAGTAGAATATTATTAGCTTTTTTCCTAAATATTCCGTCAATTTGTACTTCCATGAACAGTTTTTAAATTTTGGTTGAAGTTACTTATATACACTTTACACAAATGCCTTTGGGGAAAATATGAATTTATTTTGACATTTGACTCGGAAATATCTTGTCTGCAAGAGACAAAAATAGTTGACAAAAAAAGAGTGAATTAGTGAACGCTATAACAACTTACTCTCCCATAATTAACAAATTCACAGTAATAACCAACAAAAAAAAAGTTGTTACATCTTTTCTTAACTTGATTATACAAGGTGCGATGGATAAATTGTCATCTAAATTACACACAAATGAAAATAACACTGACATCTCATTTTAACAGCTATATTTACCAAAATTACACAAGAATATCTTGAAATACTAAAGAGTAAATTTATTCCATAAAATCGCCATTGGCTTTAACCACATCCTCCAGACAACTTTAGAATCTCTTGAAACTCTTCTGGGCAGTCTCCTTCAGTTCATCTTTGGTGTTACAAAGGAGTTTTCTTGGTCTCTTGCTCAACTGTTACCCCACACATAATAATCAAGGGTGTATCAGTTTGAGGAGTTAGGTGGCCAAATGTAAGGAGTGATGTGGTTGCAGAAACCCATGACTGGGTTCTCCTGTTAGTATGGAATGGTGTTGAATCCTGTTGCCAGACAGAGTCTTCCAGTGGCCACCTTCTCAAGGCATTTGATGTAAGCCCCCATGTTAAGTCTGAGGCTCTCTGGAAAGATGAATGGAAGCATAATGCCATGGTCACTCAAAGCACCATGATGTTGATTGGATATTTGGCTTTCATCACTCTTGGTACATCTTTAGGGGACACAGCATCTTCTGCACTGTCTTCAGATTAACACCCAAACACTCTGAAATGTGCATATTGGATTTTCTAACATGAATGCCAAGAGGTACGGCATACTGTTTCCAAATTTCTGGCAGAATGAATTGAACCATGGTGCTTTTTTTTTTCTCACAGATAGTACCCAACTGACCCTAATATACTGTACAGTCGACAAAATCAAAAACAAACAATGCGCATGCACTAAAATATAAAATGGCGACAATTTCCCATCACACCCTGTACAATGGGAGTAAAACAAAAAGGTACAATTTAAAAAAAAAACTTTTTTTAACACCTACAATTGGACTGTCCTAAAGATCTGGTTTTCTTGAGATAAAAAAGAGGTAATAGGGACAAAGGAAGACAAGAGGCCTTAAGTTTCATGCCAAAAATCATTTCTCTAAATATATATATATATATATATATATATATATATATATATATATATATATATATATAAAGAAAAGAAAGAACCTTGGCATCAATACTGATGCAATTAAAACTATTTTAGTATTAATTGTAATTTGAACCAGAGTTCAAACTGAGTATATTATCTTCCTATCTACTAAAACTTGAAATTAACATCATCCCAAGAATGATAAAACATTTGGAATGACTGGTTAAGTTTTATTGGGATGATTCAAAATGTTTAAGATTTTATTATATACATTCTAAAGCAATTAATTTCTTTAAAAAATGTTATACTTTTCTCCAATCTGGCAGGTTTCTAATAAATGGATTATGCCTGCACACAAATTAAATAAAACTTAAGCATTTCTTTTTAAACTAATGAATAAAACCAAAATGTAACATTTAGATAGTTATATTATCTCTAAATGTAAGGATTAACATCACATTCTAAGAACTAATTTTGGTTTAATAAACAAAGTAAGGAAATTATATTTTTTCTTTCAAATTTGTGAAAACTTGAATGAGTCATTAACAAACATTTGTCTTATGTTTTCTGCTTTTCAAAGATAAAATTGAAACTACAAGAGAGAATATAAAAAAATGTAAAGAAACAAAATATTTTACACATGACACAAAACAGATAATTATGGTAAATTAAATTGTTTTTAAAAAGATTTTTAAAAAAAATTTTGTGAATATTTAGAATGATTCTTTATATAGAAAAAGAATACATAGAGTACAATTCTTAAAATATGATAAAAGTTACTCTGAGCATGAAAATTTTGAACTTTACTGTGTAAAATTTTTTTTAAGTTTTTTAACCAAAATGTTTAAATAAAAATAAATTTACAATATTTACATGAAAATTATAATAAAATGTATCTGATTTGTTTTTGTATTTATTTTTAATATTTTATTATTATTTTTATTTCTATTGCACCTGTACTGTTTACATGAAAAAAAAAAAAATTTGGAATAGTGGCTGTAGGGCAGGAATACAACAGTTCAAAAAATTAAATGAACCAAAACAAATATTTATTTACTAAACATTTTGATGGTGTTTTTATTATTCTACTTATAACTATAAATTATAATATTGTTAATTTTTGATTGTGGTCAGTTCCAGGATGATGGTGAAAAAAATTAGTATGGAGACCTGATATCAACTATATTTAAGTCTAATACACTGTAACTGAAAACATATTTAATCATTAATCTATACATCCTACTTTATCCAACTTGAGATATTCTGTTATAATTTCTTCCATTCCCAACAATTTCAATCTCCACTCTACTGTGGTTTTAAAAAACCACAGTAGAAATGGAGAAAGGTTTTTGAAAAAAAGTAAGTTTTATTCAGTTCATCTAAAATGATCTGTTGTAAAAAATGCAATTTAAAAAAATAAATTTTATTCAATAAGTGAACATAGCTAACAGATATGGACTAAATGGTATGTTTGACTAAAGAATGAATTCCCCAAAACAATGAAAAATTAGGTTAAATTCAGAATACTATTCAACATATTTGGCACTGCTTAAATAAATGAGAAAGTATGATTCATTTGAAATTAAGCCTCAAAGCACCCAAAATAGATAGCTAAGAGTGAATCACAGTCCAACACATAAATAACCGAGTCATATGACTACAAGAATCAGTATGATCAGTATGAATTATATAAATAAGTCACTTTTTGTTTCAGAAATTGACTTGACCCAAAGAGTTGTGAGTTCAATACCTGACCTCAGTGGAGAGAATAAAAGCTTGGAGAATTATCAAGGTGTATTAACTAAAAACTGAGAGGCATGGTACTTGGAATTAGAACAATCTACCTGCATGGACTAAAGGGTTTGGTTTGAAATTCCAACAACTATCCCCTGAAGAAGGCTGGAGCATACAACAACTGAAACATCATGAATGTGACAATAAAGATGAGGACAACAATCTAAACAATATAAATAGTTACAATCTCAGAAATATAGACTAATGTTGAAGTCATAAATACTCTCACTACAATCCAAAGTGATATTTCAGTTCTGATCTTTATTCTATCAGCATCTCCCATTATTATTATAACATTCCCCAGTACATTCCATCAGTCTGAGAGAGAGAGAGAGAGAGAGAGAGAGAGATGAACGAAGATATACAAAAAGTTTAGATTTTGGGATCTTTTGTTTGATGTTTTTCACTGCTCCAAGAATAGAGAATAGAAAGTCTAGTAGTCAAGTAAAGCATACCAGTTTACCATTATAATATTCTGGTTACATATTGGCCACTGTCATGGTTTACTTTGAGGCTATTTTACATTTTATATATATATATATATATATATATATATATATATATATATATATAGTTAATGCCTGAGTAAGTACAATAATTATGGATGAGTGGTTAGCCTAGGTACCTCCAATGAAATCGCTAAAAAAAGAGCATAGCTTGATGAAAAAAGACGCCAACCCTTGCCGAAAACAAAATTTTATTGTCTAAATGCTTATGTTATTATTTAGAGGAAAGACCAAAGTTTTTTTTAATTATTTTTAAAAATTTTCCTTCTTTTTAGAAAATTCTAAATTTTGATTAAAAAAACCTTGTTTCTATTTGTATCAGCGAACTGGTAAATAACATAGACAATTTTTAGCACGTTTTTTGGTATGACACACATTAATTTGAAAAATCGTGCAAAAATAGAAATAATTATCGGATGTTAATGAAACTTTCAGGAACTATTCACAGATGATCAAAATTATTATAAATATGTTTTTTTTTTTATGAAAGTCATGGTAGAAATATTTTTTTAAAATATTTATTACCCCCCATAACTAATTTTATGAAAACGCTAGAAATTGATCGCATCGGTTTTAGTGATTACAATAATTAAAAGCACAGGGCTTTGAGGAATGCAAATCATGTTTTTTTTTGTTTTTAATTGGATACCCAGTACCTGAAAATCAGCTCTGAATTGTAACATACAAAACTCAATAAAACAAAG